AAAGTGTGTGGGAAGAGATGTGAGTGTTGCCCGTACACTATACAGTTAAAGTGTGTGGGAAGAGATGTGAGTGTTGCCCGTACACTATACAGTTAAAGTGTGTGGGAAGAGATGTGAGTGTTGCCCGTACACTATACAGTTAAAGTGTGTGGGAAGAGATGTGAGTGTTGCCCGTACACTATACAGTTAAAGTGTGTGGGAAGAGATGTGAGTGTTGCCCGTACACTATACAGTTAAAGTGTGTGGGAAGAGATGTGAGTGTTGCCCGTACACTATACAGTTAAAGTGTGTGGGAAGAGATGTGAGTGTTGCCCGTACACTATACAGTTAAAGTGTGTGGGAAGAGATGTGAGTGTTGCCAGTACACTATACAGTTAAAGTGTGTGGGAAGAGATGTGAGTGTTGCCCGTACACTATACAGTTAAAGTGTGTGGGAAGAGATGTGAGTGTTGCCCGTACACTATACAGTTAAAGTGTGTGGGAAGAGATGTGAGTGTTGCCCGTACACTATACAGTTAAAGTGTGTGGTAAGAGATGTGAGTGTTGCCAGAACACTATACAGTTAAAGTGTGTGGGAAGAGATGTGAGTGTTGCCAGTACACTATACAGTTAAAGTGTGTGGGAAGAGATGTGAGTGTTGCCCGTACACTATACAGTTAAAGTGTGTGGGAAGAGATGTGAGTGTTGCCCGTACACTATACAGTTAAAGTGTGTGGGAAGAGATGTGAGTGTTGCCCGTACACTATACAGTTAAAGTGTGTGGGAAGAGATGTGAGTGTTGCCCGTACACTATACAGTTAAAGTGTGTGGGAAGAGATGTGAGTGTTGCCCGTACACTATACAGTTAAAGTGTGTGGGAAGAGATGTGAGTGTTGCCAGTACACTATACAGTTAAAGTGTGTGGGAAGAGATGTGAGTGTTGCCCGTACACTATACAGTTAAAGTGTGTGGGAAGGGATGTGAGTGTTGCCAGAACACTATACAGTTAAAGTGTGTGGGAAGAGATGTGAGTGTTGCCCGTACACTATACAGTTAAAGTGTGTGGGAAGAGATGTGAGTGTTGCCCGTACACTATACAGTTAAAGTGTGTGGGAAGAGATGTGAGTGTTGCCCGTACACTATACAGTTAAAGTGTGTGGGAAGAGATGTGAGTGTTGCCAGAACACTATACAGTTAAAGTGTGTGGGAAGAGATGTGAGTGTTGCCAGTACACTATACAGTTAAAGTGTGTGGGAAGAGATGTGAGTGTTGCCCGTACACTATACAGTTAAAGTGTGTGGGAAGAGATGTGAGTGTTGCCAGTACACTATACAGTTAAAGTGTGTGGGAAGAGATGTGAGTGTTGCCCGTACACTATACAGTTAAAGTGTGTGGGAAGAGATGTGAGTGTTGCCCGTACACTATACAGTTAAAGTGTGTGGGAAGAGATGTGAGTGTTGCCCGTACACTATACAGTTAAAGTGTGTGGGAAGAGATGTGAGTGTTGCCCGTACACTATACAGTTAAAGTGTGTGGGAAGAGATGTGAGTGTTGCCCGTACACTATACAGTTAAAGTGTGTGGGAAGAGATGTGAGTGTTGCCCGTACACTAAACAGTTAAAGTGTGTGGGAAGAGATGTGAGTGTTGCCCGTACACTATACAGTTAAAGTGTGTGGTAAGAGATGTGAGTGTTGCCAGAACACTATACAGTTAAAGTGTGTGGGAAGAGATGTGAGTGTTGCCAGTACACTATACAGTTAAAGTGTGTGGGAAGAGATGTGAGTGTTGCCCGTACACTATACAGTTAAAGTGTGTGGGAAGAGATGTGAGTGTTGCCCGTACACTATACAGTTAAAGTGTGTGGGAAGAGATGTGAGTGTTGCCCGTACACTATACAGTTAAAGTGTGTGGGAAGAGATGTGAGTGTTGCCCGTACACTATACAGTTAAAGTGTGTGGGAAGAGATGTGAGTGTTGCCAGAACACTATACAGTTAAAGTGTGTGGGAAGAGATGTGAGTGTTGCCCGTACACTATACAGTTAAAGTGTGTGGGAAGAGATGTGAGTGTTGCCCGTACACTATACAGTTAAAGTGTGTGGGAGGAGATGTGAGTGTTGCCAGTACACTATACAGTTAAAGTGTGTGGGAAGAGATGTGAGTGTTGCCCGTACACTATACAGTTAAAGTGTGTGGGAAGAGATGTGAGTGTTGCCCGTACACTATACAGTTAAAGTGTGTGGGAAGAGATGTGAGTGTTGCCCGTACACTATACAGTTAAAGTGTGTGGTAAGAGATGTGAGTGTTGCCAGAACACTATACAGTTAAAGTGTGTGGGAAGAGATGTGAGTGTTGCCAGTACACTATACAGTTAAAGTGTGTGGGAAGAGATGTGAGTGTTGCCCGTACACTATACAGTTAAAGTGTGTGGGAAGAGATGTGAGTGTTGCCAGTACACTATACAGTTAAAGTGTGTGGGAAGAGATGTGAGTGTTGCCCGTACACTATACAGTTAAAGTGTGTGGGAAGAGATGTGAGTGTTGCCATTACACTATACAGTTAAAGTGTGTGGGAAGAGATGTGAGTGTTGCCAGTACACTATACAGTTAAAGTGTGTGGGAAGAGATGTGAGTGTTGCCAGAACACTATACAGTTAAAGTGTGTGGGAAGAGATGTGAGTGTTGCCCGTACACTATACAGTTAAAGTGTGTGGGAAGAGATGTGAGTGTTGCCCGTACACTATACAGTTAAAGTGTGTGGGAAGAGATGTGAGTGTTGCCCGTACACTATACAGTTAAAGTGTGTGGGAAGAGTAGCAGCAGTAAACTAGTGGAGTAGAGAAGATGGCTCAGGAGTAAAGGCACCTGTCACACAAGCCGATGACCACACAAGCCGATGACCACACAAGCCGATGGCCACACAAGCCGATGGCCACACAAGACGATGGCCACACAAGCCGATGGCCACACAAGCCGATGGCCACACAAGCCGATGGCCACACAAGCCGATGGCCACACAAGCCGATGGCCACACAAGCCGATGGCCACACAAGCCGATGGCCACACAAGCCGATGGCCACACAAGCCGATGGCCACACAAGCCGATGATCACACAAGCCGATGATCACACAAGCCGATGATCACACAAGCCGATGGCCACACAAGCCGATGGCCACACAAGCCGATGGTCTGAGTTTGATCCCTGGAACCCTTGTTAAGGCGGAAGGAGAGAATTGCCTCAACAAAGCTGTCCTCTTGACTTCCACACGTGTGCTGTGACACACACAGCACACGTCATATCACACATAATAATAATAACAACAACAACTATTTTTTAAAGCAAAGTGAAAAAATACTACTAAAACACTTTTTTGAATAGGGGAATACATGTGGCAGAAAAGAGATGACCTATTAATAGTTTAATGGATCCAATAAAACTGTCTGCCAAAGAGAAAGAAGCAATCAGCTGAAGTCTGTCTTTCCTACCATTTAGGGCGGTGCTAACCCAGGATCAGGCTGCAGTAGATGTCAGGCAAACTTGTCTTCACTTTAGGAATGCCCATCCCTGTGTACCAGCCCATGCTGACCACCACTAGCTCTGAACCCTGTCCCAGCAGATCTCCCTCTACCCCAAGCCTCCTCAGTTCATATATCCTCGGGTAGCTAGTGTTACAGCCGAAGGATGGCCGCTGAGTGTGTTACAGCATGTGGCAGGGACAAAGCACTGAGATCTGCACAAGGGCCACTCTCGTGCTTTCGAAACCCTCCTCAGGGTCAACCCCCAGCTAGAGGTTGAGGCTGAAGAAGGCAGGACTCCACCGAGCTTCAGAGCAGCGCTACCAACAGTGGACTCCCGCCTCAGACAAATGAGTCCAGAGGATGACTCCACCCTGACATCAAGCTCGGGGCTAAGAGACCCTTCTTCATTTATCCTCAGGTGATGGGCTAAGCTTCCAGCACCCAGCACTCTCATTCTGGACCCTTTGCTGCCCAAGTGAGCCTCCTGTTAACTGAACTCCTCTCCAGGTTCCTTGACTTCTGATTGGTCCTTTCATTAGGCCCAGGGGGTAGCACAGTCTTAACCAATAGTTTCCCTTTCTAGATGGCACCTAGCCAGGACACTCTGAGGTGTGAGGAGCTGTTTACCACTCTAGTTGGTGGCCTGAACCTAGGCAAGCAGGGCTAAAAATGAGGCGGACTAAAGTCTCACGCAGTAGCCAACTTCAGTCAGAGCATCAGACAGTTTGTGTTCTCAGGGTTAAGAATTTCATGAGTAAGGTGTTCAATCTCGGAGACAAGCCACATGTGGAAAAACATGTTTTTCCATAGAGGCATCTAAACAAATGACAGCCAGCTGTAATGAGTAAATGAACTCACTCCTATCCACTACTCCTGGGCGGGGCATGGATACACAATCCAAGAACAATTCCATGATTTGAAGAAACTGAGGTCACCAGACTCTTGTCTGTTTTCTTGGAGTTTTCTCACAACCACTCAGAATTCCCCTCGACTGGCTCCATTCTTAGACCATGTTCTGACAGGAAGTAGCAAAACAGAGACAGCCACCATCCCCCTGATGTCTCAAATGGGCCAGAGGTTTGTCCTGTGTGTACGGTGTCTGATTCCCCTGCCAGGGAGCCAGGCGGAAGTCAGGTGCTGCTTGCTCCTCTTCACCAGTCAAGGTTGTCCCTGCTGCCCTGACCTTCCACTCCTCTCCCAACCTCTGCCCCTGTTGTCCCGACTCTTTCATTTCCCACACTCATCGAGGCAGCTCTGTAAGTCTATCTTAGTCTGGAAATGTTTACATTTTTCAAAAGTTGTGAAACTTTTAGCTCCATAGTCTTAATCTTGTGTGTTTGTGTTTTCACTGAATTGAGTTACATAAGTAAACCCATGTGGAGTTTATTCAAGTGGATATGCACATTTAATTATTCATGTTTGTTCTCGACATTTCTGTGCCTTATTACAGTCAATGATTTGTTGTGTTTTAGAAAGTTATGCATTATTTCTTTTTTTCTTCCAAGATGAAATCTATTCTTGGGAAAAATGAGGAAGAGCTGGCCCAAGCTGTGAAGTGTCGCGATGCTGCCCTGAAAGAGAGCCAGAGGTTGAAAGGGGACCTGGAGGCCTTGGAGGACAGGGAGAGCAAGAAGGCAAGGTGTCCTGTCTGCACATCCATCCTGACAGGGGCCTGAGAGTCCTGACAAGCCACACCCCTAACTTCCTTTCCCATCCACAAAAAGGGGAGCTGTGATCAGTGAATGGGCTAAAATAGTTTTAAATTTTTCCATACTGATGCACTATGACTACAAGAAAAAGTCTGATTGTTTTCTATTCAATTCCATCTGATTTGGTAATCACCTTCTTGTGGGTCTTTTACTTTCCTAACTTCTTCGGATTTTTAACGCAGGGTCTGACCATGTAGCCCAGGCTGGTTTGAGAATGTCTACCCTGTCTTAGTCCCTCCTCATCCCTGACCTTGGGGCTGGGATTACAGGCAGATGCCATCCTGCCCAGCCTCCTCTTTGTATTTAGTGTGAATGACATCACTGTGGTGTTTCTCCATGACTTTCCTGTGCTCCCGTGTGAGTTAGTGGAAGCAGAAGTCAACTCCCAAACAGCTTTTAAAAATGTGTTTAGATTTTCCTCATTCACACATTGTAATTGTGTGTATTTATTGGATATTATATGACTTTTCATACATCTATAAAACTTGAGACAATCATACCAGGATACTCAGCACACCTGTCACTCAACCGTGTCACTTGGATTGTGACGCAAGAACACTTGCTGTATTCCTTACTAGCTACTTACACTGTTCGCATGAGAAACATTCAGCTAATTCTTGGCAGATGTGTTAAGTTGTTGTACTTTGAAAAGCATGGAGAGTTTGCCTTCTACCCAGCAGCACCACTGTACTGGTTAACCACCCTGTGTCCATCCTCTACCCCCTTTCCAGGCTCTAGCAGCCACTATTTTCTACTTGTTTCAGGTCATGTTTTTAGCTTCCACATTTAAGTGAGCATGTATAATACATATCTTTCTATGCCTAAGTTATTTCAGTTCAACCTAATGTCTGCCACTTCCATCCATGTTACTACAAATGACAGAATTGTTATGTGTGAATAATGTTCCATTGTGTATGCGTGCCATATTTTTATCTCCTCTCACATTTCAAACATAGGTAGGTAGGTAGGTAGGTAGGTAGATAGATAGATGATAGGTAAGTGGATGGATGGATGGATGGATGGATGGATGAATAGCTAGATGGATAGATGATAGATAGATAGATAGATAGATAGATAGATAGATAGATAGATAGATAGATAGATAGATGATGGATGGATGGATAGGTAGGTAGGTACATAGATAGATAGGTAAATGGATGATAGATGATAGGTAGATAGATAGATGATAATTGATAGGTGATGGATAGATAGATAGATAGATAGATAGATAGATAGATAGATAGATGGATAGATGATAGAGATAAAATTTGTTTCTGCGTGGGTGGGTGTGGAAGCACTGTGGAGGTCAGAGGGAAGTTTGCAGGTGTTAGTTCTCTCCTTCCATCAATTGGATCCCAGAGAGGGAACTCAGGTCATCACACTAACTGGCCAGTGCTTTATACTCTGAACATTTTGTTGGCCCATCTCAAACTTCCAGACAGCCAGTGATGAGTGTTCTAGGTCTTTGAAGAGGGAGACCTATGGGCCACATCAGTCTTTAGCAGCTTCCACTTTCTCCCCCAGTCTTTATCCTCAGATCCGTTCCAATGTGTTCTCCTTTTCTGAGCCCATCAGGAGAGAGCTGAGCACACTTGCCTGAGATCACTTCTGAGCCAAAGAATTTGTTGGCCCCAGTGTGTCCACTTAATTGTGAGCTGTGCCGCGGCAGTGGCAGAAAACTGCCACGTTTCTCACAGACTGTGGGACCTGCTTTTCTCTTTCTGAAGCACAAAAACTCGGGGACAGAAGTGGAGTAGACTTTCCCTGTTTCTTCTTTCATTTTCTTTCAGGTGGGAAACTTCCAGCGACAATTAGCAGAGGCTAAAGAAGACAACTGCAAAGTTACTATCATGCTGGAAAATGTGCTGGCTTCTCACAGCAAGATGCAGGGGGCACTGGAGAAAGTCCAGATAGAGCTCGGGCGGAGGGATTCCGAGATTGCCGGCCTCAAGAAGGAAAGGTACCACATTTCTGTTTCTGCCGTGTCTAGGAAGGACATGAGGCCTCTTGAGTATCATTGACTTTGAAAAACTGTTACAATAGTGTTTTAAGAACTAGCAGGTTAGGAGCTAAAACACAGGCAGGAAGCTTTCTAAAAAGTTCAAGTTGCCCATCGTAGAGTGGCATGAAAAAAAGTGTGTCCTTGAATGTCGTGTACTTTTTTAACCTTGCTCCTTTCTGCACCATTTAAAACCTAATTCTGTCCTGCTCTGCAGAATATTAATTCTCAAGAAAACTGAATTGGACTAGAGAGCTAGAGATCAGCCTCAGTGGTAGAACACTTGTGGAGCACGTGCGCGCGCGTGCGCGCGCACGCACACACACACACACACACACACACACACACACACACAATCAAACTTGAAGTAAGGAACTTATTATTCATTTATTGCAATATTATTTCAAGATTAATAGTTATTTTAGGTTAATCATCCTAAGAATTATTTTTAGCTGTGTTTTATTAGTGAACTTCCTTCAGTGTTTCCAAATTACATAAAATGAAAAGTAATAATTAAAAGTATTACCTTTAATATTTCTTTTGGGCTAAGGAAAAATGGTCTGAGGCTGATAGTGCCTCTGGAATATATTATGTATATTACTGGTTCATATTGCTTCTATGTTATGAGAAAACAAGTGAATTGTATCTTATTTACTGAGCTTATCTTTATTTTGCATACTATAGAAGTGTTAAATGTATTAACATGTATTAAATATATATTTATAAATATTATATATTAAATGTATTAATATATTACCTTAAATTTTTTAAAAGCAAGAGGATAGTATATAAAATACTGTTTACTTGTCACAGTACATTTCAACATAGCTATTATATTTAGAAGGAAAATTTTCAACAGCAGGCCAAACCTTAACCAACAGGTAAAGCAATATTCCAAATTGCCATCCCAGAAGTCAATCAAAAACGTGGATTCATAGCCTAATGAGTAAGCCTGACTGACTCACACATGGGACAAGAATTTTAATTCCTTATGTGCCTGCCTTTCTTGTCCTGAAGATGAAGCTGTCATTGTTATTTATCAACACTCTTAGATTTTGAGCAGATGTAGATACTTCAGTAATGCCATCTGAGCTTCCAAGAGAAAGGTGTCCTGGTACTTTCAAGTGGTGTCATAATTCCTGTGCCCTTCTTTACAATCATTTCTTATACTTTGTATTTTTAGGTCTCTAAATCAGCAAAGAGTCCAGAAGCTTGAAGCGGAAGTGGACCAGTGGCAGGCCAGGATGCTGATTGTGGAGGCCCAGCACAGTAATGAGGTAGAGGCCAGGTGTCAGAGCTGGCCACACTGATCTGCTCAGTTTTATTGTGACATTACTATTTTAGAACATTGAAATGAAACAGAGAAAGTTCCTTTTCATCCAATTAAGAGTCTTTGACAGTGACATATTTATGAATAAGAAATAGGTAATAAATCATAGTTTTGACTGATTTTTTTTTCTCTCTTACATTGTCCATAGTCTTCTCATTTATCAATGCACAGGTTATTTCAGGAGTTAAATGCCTTAGAAAACAACCTATAATCTCACAGTTAGCTGGTGACACTGTTAGTGATCAGACATGTGCGCACACACGCACACGTGCCCACTAATTATGTATCCATATATGTATGCAATGTATAAGCCTTTTAACATCTGTTTGGAGGCCAGCACACATGTGCCATGTGCAGCTTGTGGGAATCCATTCCCTCTCATGAGTACAAGTGACTAAACTCAAGCTAGCTGGGTGGCAGGTGCCTTCCCCCACTGGGCCCTCACAGTAGCCCTTACATAAGCCTGGTTTGGGAAGACTATACAAGGAATAGTTGCCAGTTTTGAGTTCTCCTAGACAATGAGACCAGAAAGTGATATAATCAGTAAGAGAACAGTTGAACTGGTTAAACTCCTGAAAATCAAGATCTGTAAGCTAGTTCTTATTTTCTAGTGTTCTCTGATCTCCAGGGCGTGGCCTTCTGGGAGACTCCTAAGCAATGTCAGTTGTAAGTTGTTTTTTTGTGTATTATATACTTTACCTAGAGTGTTTCTAGTTCCAGCTGATCATTTCTGTGGCACTTATAGAGTGTAATGAGTAAAAACTGTTCTGCTGGCTGCTCTGGACTTACAGGTGCCCTTCTCCCTTTCAGATGGAGCCGCTACAGAAGTCTCTGGACATAACTAGAGAGGACAACAGGAAACTGGCCATGAGCCTAGAGCAAGCTCTCCAGACAAATGGCCATCTGCAGTCTAAGCTAGATAACATCCAAGAAAAATTGGAAAGCAAAGAATTTGAGCGGCAGAATTTAGAAGCCTTCAAGTAAGGGCCGTATATTCACAGTGAAATTGGGGATGAGCCTCTGGAGGCATAAGTGGCTTGTTCAGATAAGGTAGGGAAGCCCTTTCTCTTTCATGGCAAGCAAATGGGCATAGCTGGACTGCAGCAGGTAACAGCACCTGAGCATGCCTGTGTGGTCTCCTTTCCAGTTCTTCCTTGCCCATTTCAAGCTGATTCTTTGTCAAGTTAACCCAAAATATAAAGACACTCACATGTTTCTGCCAGGCTTAAGCCATCCTTTTAAAGCACGATTTGAGCCAGGTATGGAGGCACACACTGATAGTTCAGCATTTAGAAGGCTGAAGCAGGGAGACTATGAGCTTGAGGCCAGCCTGGGCTACATAATAAGATCCTGTCTCAAGAAAACCAAAGCAAGGGCTGAGAGAGATGGCTCAGTGGGTAGAGGCAGTTGTGTGGGCCTGATGACCTGAGCTCAGTTCCCAGTCCGACCAGGCAGCAGGGAAGAACCAACTCCCAAGAGTTGCCTGTCTTCTGACATGTGTGTATGGTACACGTACACACATGCACACATGCATACACACACACACAAATAAAAATTAAGGAAACCAAAATAAATAATACAGATTTGGGCAAGGAATCACAGTAGTCTGAGTGGATCTACCCATCCAGGAATGGAATGGCTACGTGTAAGCAGATGATAACCTGGTATTTTAATTTTTGCCTAAAACTGGTTATATTAAACCATGAAAGTTTTGTTACAAACAGTATGTTGATAAATATGATTTAGACACTAATATCGTCCTGTGGATGTTTATGCTTAGGGAAACATGCATAGAACCTCATTCTTGTCACTGATTGCACATGCCAGTGAATGCAGGATCAAGGCAGAAGCTAAGGCAAAGAATGTACTTTCCATAAACAAAATCTGTACAAAGTTGATTTGGGGGTCAAATGTTCCTGCCACAAGGCTGTGCAGTATTGGCTAAAACAATACTGTGTTTGTATAGTGGCTGGTAGAATCATTTAAAAATCCATCCGGGTCAGATAAATTATTTAAGTTTACCTGTAGTCGGAAGTTTTCCTGTGTCCTGCCCAGTCCCATAGCCACTCAGACCCAAATAAACACACACAGGCTTATATTATTTTTAAACTATGACCATGGCAGGATTCTTGCTAGCTAGGTCTTATTTCTTAAATTAACCCATTTCTATAAATCTATGTTTTGCCATGTGTTCCGTGGCTTTACCTGCATCCCATTACATGTTGCTCCTTGGGCATCTGACTGGTATCTCCCTAGACTCGCCTTTCTCTTTCCTGTCTCTCTACCTGGATTTCCTGCCTGCCTCTAAGCTGCCTTGCCATAGGCCAGAGCAGCTTATTTATCAACCAATCAGAGCAACACACATTCACAGCATACAGAACGACATTCCACAGCACTTCCCCTTTTTTGTCTAATCAAAAATGAAGGTTTTAACTTTAACATAGTAAAATTATATATAATAAAACAGTTATCAAGCAAGAATTATACTTAACAATATCTAGTCTATTTATATTTGACAAAATTAAAGAAAATATTCTATCCTGTATTTGTGAGTCTAAGGTTTCATTTTTAATTTATCTTTTATCATAACCAAGGAAAATCATAATTATCTAGTCTTCAACTACATCAGAGACCCCAGAAGGATATAATATTACCTAAGTAAACAGGAAGTTCATTGTAAGCAACTTTAAAAATTCTAGAATGACAGAGACAGCTGTCTGCCTGGACAGTCATCCAAAGTTCCTCTGCAACGTTGGGGCATCCATCTTCAGCCCACAGGCTTAGAGTCTCTCAGTTGCTTAATCCTATGTCCTGTAGAATGTCTGGCAGTTTCTTCTGCAAAGCAGGAACCTGAAGGATCATCTCACCTGGCAAAGTTCAGTGGTCACCTTTCTATGGGTCCTGCATGTCCAGTTTAATATCAAGCAGTCAATGCAAGGGCACTTTTTTGCCCAGTGGCCACAAAGAAAGCAAATTCCATAATGATTTTCTTCAGTGCCCATTATCGTCTCTGAAGTAGATTGGTGTTGCCAGGAGCAGATGTGTCTCATTGTCCAAAAAAGTCTAAGTTTTTAAAACATTTTAAATGCCGTATTCTGTAGGTCTTTGAAGTGTTTGAAGATTACCTACCTAATTGAATTATATCTATGTATACCTAGAAAACTTAACATGCCTATAAGTTTGACTATCATAATAGTCATAATTATTATTCTGTATTTCTCAACTATACATTACAATTTAAATGAGTTATATAAACATAATACCTTAAACAAGAGTAGAAATATATATAGTATAACAAAATTAACTTTAAATTTATATTAATAAACTAAAATCCATAACAATGTAAAATATTTTAAGCAAGTTGTTTTTTAAAAGTAGATTCAACAATCTACCCTTTTATCCTATCATATCTATATCCTATATATCTATATCATATCCCCTTTTCTTCTTTTAGAAATAGATTGACTATGACCAATAACAATTTGTATCCAACAACCAAAGCAAAGACAAATATCCATAATCCATTTTTTGGGAATGTGGACATAGTTTTCTAGGCTACTTCCTGCTGATAAAGGGCGCTGTTGGTTTTTGTTTGTTTTTGGTTTTGTTTTGGGTTTTTTTTTTTCTTTTTTTTTTTGGTTTTTTGAGACAGGGTTTCTCCGTGTAGCTTTGGTGCCTGTCCTAGATCTCACTCTGTAGACTAGGCTGGCCTTGAACTCACAGAGATCCTCCTGGCTCTGCCTCCCAAGTGCTGAGATTGAAGGTATGTGCCACCACTGCCCAGTGAGGGCACTGTATTCTTATGGGGATCCTGAGAAAATTAAGAATTATGGTCAAGTCATGGAAAGACTGGTTATAACCTTTGTTGATAGGTACCATCTGTTAAGGTTTAGGAGATCTGGCTTGATCAAATCTCATCCATCTTAACCTGGAACAAATCCATAGCCTCTTGATTCCTGTAGAAACAAAAACAGAGCCTCCTATCCAAAGTAGCATATCCTTAGATCCAAGTTTTGAAGTCAAAATACCTTTAAAATATACATATTGATTTAACTGACCAGCCTTTACAATCAAATATCTTTCTATAGTTAAAAATATCAAAGACAACACAATCCAGATTCTGTGTGTAATATCCATCTTTACGTGGCTTGTTTTTTTTATATAATATATCTTTACTGTCTCTTTAAAGACTTTATCTTTTAAAACTATTTCTTTCTTTATATAACTGTCTATATTCCTTTTCCTCTCTCTTCCAAGCCTATGTACATTTTTACACACACTGTAAACTGTTTAGGGTTTATCCCATCAGAATCTGTCTTATTGTGAATCTATTGCTTTGAACTGCAGCATGATTAGGACTGAAATGGCAGCTTTGGCTGCTGGCTGCGCCCACCTCAGCTTTCCAATGTGGCGGAACTACATTTACTGCCAGCTGTGGGAGAACCATGCTCACTGCCGACTAGGGAAGCAGTGGGTCTATACTTCCATCCAACAGCATGTAGCCCAAAAACTTTTTTTTTTTTGGTACTAGCAAAAGCTAAATCCACCACACAGTATGCTGCGCAGCTTGCAGATGCCACAGTGTACAGTGGCAGGAATCTGCCATGCTGCACTCAAGCCCATACGCCATGAACCCGCCATACTGTAGCTCAAGTCCACACGCCACAGGTCTCTGTACCTTGGTGTCTCTATATCTCGACCCACATGAGACAAGAAGTAGAAAGCTGTTTTTGGCTCCATTGTTGTGTGTTTAGAAGCCCTTTTTAAACTCTTTTAGGCCTTATGAATTGGAGAGCCCCTTGTTGGTATGCCAAATGTAGCTAGAAGTTTTTCTGTGTCCCGACTGCAGACCCACAGTCCTGCAACCTTTTATAAAATAATCACACAGAGGCTTAATATTAATTATAACTGCTCAGCCGTTGGCTCAGGCCTACCATTGACCAGCTCTTACACTTAAACTCATCCCATTTCTGTTAATCTATATGTCGCCACATGTTCCATGGCTTTACCTGTGTGCCATTTCATGCTGCTCCCTGGACAGCAGGCTGGTGTCTCCTGACTCAGCCTTCCTCTTCCCAGAATTCTCCTTGTCTGCTTATCCCACCTATACTTCCTGCCTAGCTCCTAGACAATCAGTGTTTTATTAAACCAGTGTACAAAAGCATTATTCCACAGCATTTACCTAGTAAGTCATTCCTATCCCTGAATAGCCTGAAAATTCTTCAGGTACTCTGTATTTTCTATTAATTTGTTTGTTTTGCCCTATCCAGGTTGGTTTGTTTTTATTTTATAATTATTTTTCTTTGTTTTCTAATAAGAGAAAGCAAGAAATGTAGATTTGGGTGGGTGGGGAAGTAGGGTGATCTGGGAGGAAGTGAGGGAGGGGATCATAATCAGAATAAATTATATGAGAAAACTATTTTCAATTTAAAAAGACAAAGTATAATCCCTCTCACAGTTGCTAAAATTGTGGCAAGGTAAATGACAGGGAAAGAATAAGGTGAAACCCATAAGCATTTGCTTCAGAATAGGTCTTTACCTATCGCTATAGCTCCTATTTTCATCAAAGAATCCTACCTCACTTGAGACTGACCAACCTCTTGATGTTGTACAAATTTGTACTAATCTGTGTACATACTTAGGAAGAAAGATCAAGCCTGGGAGATTGTTTTAGACGCATGTGTTTTGAGATGGAATTGTGAGGTGTAGAAATGCAGGTTAGTTCTGAAAAGAGGTCACAGGCTGGCACTCACATTTACAAAGATGAGAGCTGATGTACTGAAGTGCATCGTCTTCAAGGGACAGTAGGGGGAGTGGAAGTCACAGGTAGTGGTGGCACAACAGGAGAAGGAGCCTTTGAGCTTGCAGCTGCTGTCTACCCAGCGTTCTCAGAGGACCCATCCATAGCTCCAGAGGGTTACACAGAACAAGAACCTTCTAGAGCTTGAAAATTCCTGACCGTGTAGAAGCAAAACTCAGCTGGTGAGGAGAGGCAGGCAGGAGGACTCTGAAAAGATGAAGGCTCAGACTGTGTGTGAAGAAGAACACTTCTGCTGCTGTCCTTCCGGGGTCTACAGGAGAGCTTGGGCTCTGATCCCAGTGTGGAGAGAAGCGCCCCACTGAACTCAGAGATTCAAGAGTGGAAGGGTTGTCACTGAGTTTGAGATTAGGCAAGGATCATGTGGAGTGTTCCTTCTACAATAAGAAGAAAAATTGAAGCTCATATCTACACAAGTGGCAGCAGAAATGGAACCCTGGAGGGAAGAATTACACTAAAATTAAGGGCTGGTGTGATGACTCAACAGGTAAAGATTGTTGCTGCCAAGCTTGAAACCTGAGTTCAGTCCTTGAGACTCACATGTTAGAAGAAGAGATCAGACTCCTGCAAACTACTCTGGCCTCCACATGAGTGCTCTGGGGCCACACACACACACACACACACACACACACACACACACACACTTATAAATGTAAGTTTTGAAAGTAAAGGCACCCACAGGTACTGAGATGATGCAGTGAAGTTCCCTGTCAGGACCCTGGGAGGTCCAGGAGCTGAGAGTGGGGTGGAGTCACATTTCAGCCTCAGTTTCCTCCTGAGCACACTGTGCCCATGCTGCCACACGGACAAATGGAATCTGTTAGCAGAGGCTTTTCTGGAGGCACATAGTGAACGTGGACACATAACCCAAACACACAGAAGGCATGCTCAGAGAGGGAAAGGATGGCAGGCCAGGCAGTGATCCATCTACTCTGAGAAATAAGGTAACTCAGGAGCGTCACATGCTGAGTCATTACCACCCTGGTCAGGCTTAAGGCAGGAAGGAGTCATTGCTTAAGTTCATGGGTGTTTAACTTTCACATGTCTTTGTAAGAGTAAAAAATTATATACGCCGGGCGGTGGTGGCGCACGCCTTTAATCCCAGCACTCGGGAGGCAGAGCCAGGCGGATCTCTGTGAGTTCGAGGCCAGCCTGGACTACCAAGTGAGTTCCAGGAAAGGCGCAAAGCTACACAGAGAAACCCTGTCTCGAAAAACCAAAAAAAAAAAAAAAAAAATTATAGACTCCACATGAACTTTGCTTATCATTTCAGGGAATTTCAGCATTCTCAGAAGCCTAATCATGGATCTTGACCGAAGAACCGAATCTAGAATGCTGATCAGATGAAAGGCTCTAGCTTCAAAGAAAAGCTGTATAATTAGCAGCCTAAACCTAAAACACTGGTTATCACTCTGTGGGGTTCGACCCCATTGCAGGGGGGATTCAGACAACCTTTTCACAGGAGTCACCTGAGACCATCAGAAAACGCAGATATTTACATTACAGTTAATGAGGTAGCAAGGAAAATAATTTCATGGTTGGGGGTCACCACAACATGAAGAACTGTGTTAAAGAGTCGCAACATTAGGAAGGTTGAGAAACACTGACCTGGAGAGTAAATAGCTAATATCAGACCTAACAAAACGAAACAGTCCTCTCATTTTGATTGTACCCTCTGCTGTTTTCCTGCTTTGGGCTGAATCCTGTTGTACAGAGCGAGGTTTGGTTTAACACCACAGGTAATCACACGCACCTCTTCCCTCCGTTCTCAGCTGCTGCTCCTGAGGTTGACTGGGGGCTGAGGAGCTGCTCATTGTAAATCACACACCTTTGAGAGAGTTGCACATTCCCCTGAAAACCTTTATTGACTCTTAAGATAAATTTTAAAGTGAATTTATCTTGTTTCCTTACAAACAGAGAGCGGATTGCTGAGGAGTCCAAAGTGGAAGCGGAACTGCATGCGGAGCGCATCGAAGCTCTGAGAAAGCAGTTTCAAATGGAGAGAGAGACTGCAAAGAAAGCCACACAGAGGGAAGTTTCTGAGGTGAGGACTAGGGTTGAGGTGGAGCCCAGGGCGCTGCCCACAGCTGGTCCCTCTGCTCAGCAAGCAGCACGCCAACTCTTGCAAGAAAGCTGTTTTTGTTACAGGGTTCCCGGCCAAGCAGAGGGGTGCCTTAAGAACTTTCCTGTCAGAGGCCTGAGAATTCAGCCATCTGACAGATCTAATCACCTCAGCCCAGGTGCCTCCCCACCCACTGTGCATCTGCTGTCTCTGGAGAGGCACACCCAACAGCAGCAGAAGGGCTGGGGATATATATATACCTTAGTTTGTAGAAGGTGCCTCCCCACCCACTGTGTATGTGCTGTCTCTGGAGAGGCACACCCAACAGCAGCAGAAGGGCTGGGGATATATATATACCTTAGTTTGTAGACGGCTTGCTCAGCTGCATGAGCTCTGGCTTCCATCTCCAGGAGCACACATTCCAGGCATTGTGGTGCACAATTGCAACCCCAGCACCTGGGAGGTAAAGATAGGAGAATCAGAAGTTCAAGGTTATCCTCAGCTATAAATTGAGTTCAAGGCCAGCGTAGCCTAACATGAGACCTTGTATAAAACAAACAAAAACAACAAAAAGCAGCTGTAGAAGATGTGACACATGGTATCTGCATGAGCCAAATAACCCTTGTTTAGTTGTGATTGCCACTCTGGACATGAGAAAAATAGCAAGACATCAGAGGGCGTTTCCTGGATACCTAGAGGCAGTGCACAGCTTTGAAGGGATTCGAGGTTTATTACGCTGGTTGAGGGTCAGAAGGCAGGAAACAACGCACAGCTTTGAGTCTCACGAGATGCAGGGCTGGGCCTTTTGAAGAGCCTGGGCAAAGCTGAGCTACAACAATGGAAATCAGGGAAGAACAAGTTATAGATGGGCAACCCGACCTCATGGCCTTGCCTGCTAGACCACTGGATGTGAATTGTCAAGTGAACTTGAGCACTCTGGGAACAATTTCAAGTTACTGTGATGACAGTAGAAAGTAGGGGAGAATGAGGAGAAACCAGATGGGGGCATAAGAAAGCCATAATACCTTCTGGTGATTGACAGTCAGGGCCAAGCAAAATGGTTCTGTTGAAAAAGAGAGCAAGTAACTCAGAAGGCTATTTTAATAGAGGAATAAACAGGTACCTGTTGTATACTGAGCATGGAAGAGGAAGGTATACATTTTTGTGTGCTTTTATTTGCTTACAGTTTGATGCTTTGTTTTGGTTTTGATGAGGTTTTATTTTGTTTTCTTGGTTTTGAGGGGTTTTGTAGTTGTGTTGGGATTTTGTTTGTTTACTGAGAGAGAATTTAAAGTGCAATGGGTCAGGAAAGGAGAAGATCTGGAAGGACTCAGGTAAGTAGAAGAATATGATCAAAATGTATTTAAATTTAATAGTTGTTTTAAGTAATAAAAAATATAACAAAAAGTAGTAAACATACTCAAGACTTGAGGTGAATTGTGTTTTAACAAATTTGATACATTTAGTAATTGTAATTGACAGATACAGTTAACACTTTAACTTCAACTAATATTTATAAAAGTTTTGTGACCTGCAAACCACTGTATAAATATGTTATAAAAAGCAAGTTCTGCCGGGCGGTGGTGGCGCACGCCTTTAATCCCAGCACTCGGGAGGCAGACAGAGGCCGGCAGATCTCTGTGAGTTCGAGGCCAGCCTGGGCTACCAAGTGAGTTCCAGGAAAGGCGCAAAGCTACACAGAGAAACCCTGTCTCGAAAAAACCAAAAAAAAAAAAAAAAAAAGCAAATTCTATGGGAAACAAATAGGTATCCTAAATGTAAACAATACCATTGATTAGAACTTATTGCTCAGAACACATAGAAAAATGAAACCTGGGGCTGGAGAGATGGCTCAGAAGTTAGGAGCACTTCTTGATCTCACTTAGTACCAGAAATGTGTTCCTGGCACCCATATGGCTCATGACCTCCCCATAATTCCCATTCCTGGGGATCCAGTGTCCTCTCTTGTAGCTAGAGTTTTACTGCCTGGCCCACAGTCAGGACAAATCTTTGTCACCCACAGTCCCACAGCCGCTGAGACCCGACCAAGTAAACACAGACTTATATTGGTTACAAACTGTATGGCCGTGGCAGGCTTCTTGCTAACTGTTCTTACAGCTTAAATTAATCCATTTCCATTCATCTATACCTTGCCACATGGCTCGTGGCTTACCGGCATCTTCACATGCTGTTTGTCATGGTGGCAGCTGGCAGTGTCTCTCTGACTCAGCCTTCCACTTCCCAGCTTTATTCTCCTTGTCCCGCCTATACTTCCTGCCTAGCCAATGGCCAATCAGTGTTTTATTTATTGACTAATCAGCAACACATTTGCCGTACAGACCATCCCACAGCACTTCCCCCTTTTTTTTTTCAAAAAAGGAAGGTTTTAACCTTAACAAAGTAAAATTACATATAATTTGGGAATTTGGGCGTAGCTTCTCTTACTACTTCCTGCTGGAGGGGGGCGCTGTATTTTATGGGGACACAAAGAAAATTTTAGAATCATGGAGTAGTCTATGAGGGTGTATCATCTGAGCCAGTCACCTTGAAACGGTTCTGGATGTTGGATCATCTGGGCCATGGTGTCATCGGAGACCTTTCAGGGGGTCTTGGCTGGTCAAACCTGATGTATCTTAATCTGGAACAAATCCATAGCCTCTTGCTTTCTGTGGAAACAAAAGAGACTCTTTTCCAAAGCAACATATCCTTATATCCAAATTTTGAAGTCAAGGTACTTTTAAAATATACATTTTGGCATAACTCAACAGCTTTTACAATCAAATGTTTTTCTGTAGTTAAAAATCCCAAAGACAACACAATCCAGATTCTCTGTGTAATATTCATCTTCACATGGCTTATTTTTTTATATTAATTTTACTGTCTTTTTAAAGACTTTATTTTTTAAAACTATGTATTTGTTTATATAACTGTATATATCACCATATATCACCTTTTTTGTCTCTTTCAAGCCTATGTATATTTTACACACATTGTAAACTATTACATCTGAATCTGTCTTATTGTGTATCTATTGCTTTAAACTGCAGCAGCTGTGGCTGCTGGCTCCGCCCACCTCAGCTTCCCAACATGGCGGTGGTAGTTTACCGCCAGCTCTGGGAGATATCGGGGGTCTATGCTTTTATCCAAGCAGCGTGTAACCCAGAAACCTCTTTTTTTTTGTTTTGTACTAGCAAAGTCTAAATCCACCACGCAGCTTAATGTGCCACTTCAGAGGCCTCATTCCCGCCATACGGCAGGTCGAGCGCGCAGGATACGAACCCGCCAGTAGCTCAAACCGGCAGCTGCCGCTCATTTGAGAGAGACAATTAGGAAGCTGTTTTTAGCTCCGTTTTAGAATCTTTTTTCTTAGTTTTTAGGTGGAAACTCTTGCCACCACGTTGGACGCCATTTGTAGCTAGAGTTTTCCTGCCTGGCCCACAGTCAGGACAAATCTCTCTCACCTGCCAGTCCCACAGCCGCTGAGACCCGACCAAGTAAACACAGAGACTTATATTGGTTACAAACTGTATGGCCGTGGCAGGCTTCTTGCTAACTGTTCTTACAGCTTAAATTAATCCATTTCCATTAATCTATACCTTGCCACATGGCTCGTGGCTCACCGGCATCTTCACATGCTGTTTGTCATCATGGCGCTGGCAGTGTCTCTCTGACTCAGCCTTCCACTTCCCAGCTTTATTCTCCTTGTCCCGCCTATACTTCCTGCCTAGCCAATGGCCAATCAGTGTTTTATTTATTGGCCAATCAGCAACACATTTGCCATACAGACCATCCCACAGCACTCTCTGACCTTATTGGGAATGAGGCACATGTGGTATACATACATACAGGCAGGTAAAACACTCAGACACATAAATTAACCTCAGTTTAAAACGCTGAAACCCTAGAGGAAGCATCTGTGATAATGGTGACCTGTGAGGGAACCTGGTGACAGAGTGCCATTGGTGCGGTGCGTAGTTCAGAGCATTGCTGACTCCCAGCCCTGCCTGTATTAGCTACGTATTTATTCTCTCTAAGTGGCTTGACTTCTGAACTCATTTCCTCTGTCATAAAATCAAGGTCATTACCACTACTTTTCAGGTTTGTTTAAAGAGTTAACTTGGAAAGCATCTGGGCCATATGGCCAAGCATAACTACACCCTGGTGTTAGTCTGCCTTGAGGCCGCTGTGGAGTGGGTCATAGATGGCAGTGATGGCAGCAGAGGGTGTGCTGGACCAGTAAGATCTAATGACAGAAGAACCCTGGGGTGAGAGCAAGGGCAGAAAGCTCTGACTGTGTGTTGTCAGACACCCCCATCCGTGAGGAGCCTTCCCTCTGTTCATCCCCTTCAGCTCCTCTTTAAAACTCAAGTTGTGTGAATTTAAAGGAACATTGTGAGGACCAGGACAATGTAAAGTCATTCATCATATTACTTTTCCATGAGACAAAATTATTAAAGTGCTTTCAGAACAAGAAGCAACACCATCAAATGCATGCAATAGTAGTGAACACCTGCCATGTGTATGCAACTACTCTAAATTTATTTTCATTTTTAGAGCCATGAGACAACAAGAAAATGATTGTAGTGTGGTAGTAATCACTGAGCGATGACTGTGTACCAGCTGCTGTCGGTTGTTCTTTACTCTTACCCTTTCCTCTTGGGGGGCCCTGTTACTTTTACCCTTTGCTCTTGGGGGGCCCCGTTACTCTTACCCTTTGCTCTTGGGGGGCCCTGCCACCCAGCTCCCAAGTGAACACTCAGAGACTTATTCTTACTTACAAATTCACGGCCTTAGCTTGGCTTGTTTCTTGCCAGCTGTTCTTAAATTATCCCATCTATCTTTTGCCTCTGGGCTTTTACCTTTCTCTATTTCTGTATACTTTTCTTTACTTCTTACTCCATAGCTGGCTGTGTGGCAGGGTGGCTGGCCCCTGGTGTCCTCCTCCTTTTCTCATACCTTGATCTTCTCCCCCCAGATTTCTCTTCCCATTTATTCTCTCTGCCTGTCAGCCCCACCTATCCTTTCTCCTGCCTAGCTATTGGCCATCCAGCTCTTTCTTAGACCGGTCAATTGTTTTACACAGGTATAACACAGCTTCACAGAGTTAAACAAATGCAACATAAAAGAATGTAACACATCTTTGCATCAATAAACAAATGTTCCATGGCATAAACAAATGTAACACATCTTAAAACAATATCTACAACAACTGGGTTCTGTTTTCTTTCTTTACTTGTTTTACTTAACTCTAACTTACCCCTTAAGTAGGCTATCCACTCATTTTTCAGTTGATGAACCTGAGGCTTGAGGAAGTTAATTACCAAACCTACTCATAGGTGACGAAGCTGAGACTGGAACTTAGGTCTCTCCACAGTCATGCTTGCAAAATGCAGCTCATGACTATACATAGTTCACATTCATTATCTAAAGAGTATTTTATCTCAAATGTTAAAAATGGTGAAAAATCACTGGATTTGTTGCTCTATAAATCTGTGTATCAGACATGCATATCATTTTCTTCATTATTTTTTTATATGTGTAAGTCTTTGGCCTGCATGTCTGTGTTCCATGTGCATGCCCAGTACCCTCAAAGGTCAGAAGAAGCCATCAGATCCACTGGACCCGGAGTTACAGATGGTTGGGAGCCACCATGTGGGTGCTGGGAATTGAATCCGGGATCTCTGCCAGAGCAGCTGTGCTCTTAACTGCTGGGCCGTCTCTCCAGCCCCCACTCTCTTTGTAAATGTAGGGACAAAGTGAAGCTTCCCTTACCGAAGGGCAGGTAGAAATGTGCCTTCTCTCTTGTTCTCTCGTCTTCTAAGCTGAAGAAAGCTCTTGACGAAGCCAACTTCAGGTCAGTGGAAGTGTCGCGGACAAACCGAGAGTTACGACAGAAGCTGACGGAGCTAGAGAAAGTGGTGAACAATAACAAGGAGAGACTGAAGAACCAGAAGGCCCAGATAAAGCTGCACCTGTCGGCCAAGGCAAACAACGTGCAGAATCTGGAGAGGATGAAGGTGGTCTGAGCAGCCCAGCCCTCTCCTTGCTGCTTCAGTGGGTTGGGAGGGTCCGAGCCCTGAAAACAGCGTGTGTTCTCTAGGAAGTGGGCAGGTTGCCTCTGTGGGATCCTCTCTGCTTTGGTGGAGACACTGCTGTGTACCTGTGGGTCTCATTGTGCTTCGGGAGCATGTCTGTCTCCATCCATCTTTTCCAAGGTGGGCGGTCCTCATGTACACAAGGTGTATAGAAGACGGCCCATCCTGACTCTTCTGGGGTCAGTGGGCTAGATAGGAAATAGAGCCCAGCAGAAACTGAAAACTTAGAATTCAGTCAGCTGAAAACCCAAGTCAGTCTACTGGCCATTACCTTTTTTTATGTTATTTGAACATTTACTTTCAGCAAATAGAAAAAGAATTGAGGCAAATGGAGATAATTAAGGACCAATATCAGAAAAAGAACTACGAGCAGGTAAAGTGTGATTCCCACAAACTGCTTACTGGTCATGTGAGACTCTAACTTGGTTTCACCATGTGTCCCTTCTTGTTCCCCACCAGTCACTGAGTATCCAGAGATTTGTCTCTGAAATGAATGTCCTGCAGAAAGAGATGGAGCGGTTAGCCAAGAGCCAGTGTGAGACCTCGGCGCGGAATAAACAGCAGGAGCTGAGACTAGTGGCCGAGCGGAAAATGAGACAGGAACTAGAAAATCGGTGCGAGGTAAAGATTCTTAAGGTTCCTCTCAACAGTTGCTAGCAAGTATATGTGCCTAAATCCGGTGAAATGGCACTTAGATTTGCCTAGACTCTATGAAAAAAATAAAAAACATGTGGTGGTGGTTTGAATAGGTATGGCCCCCATACCCCATAGACTCATGGGTTTGAATACTTGGCCCATAGGGACTGGTGCTATTAGGAGGTGTGGCCTCGTTGGAGTAGGCTGGGCCTTGCTGGAGGAAGTGTGTTACTGTGGGGATAGGCTTTGAGGTCTCAGAAGCTCAAGTCAGTTCGCTCCATGCTGCCTGTGAATCAAGATGTAGAGCTCTCATCTCCTTCTCCAGCACCATGTCTGGTGCATGCGCCGTGTTTCCTTGATGTGATGATAATGGACTGTCTGAAACTGTAAGCCGGCACCAATGAAATGTTTTCCTTTATAAGAGTTCCCGTGGTCATGGTGTCTCTTCACAGCAGTAAAACACTAAGATCCATGTTGAAAATGATACATTCGTTACTTCCTCATTGTAGTGACAGAACACCTGACACAAACATCTTAAAGGAGGTCAGGTCAAAGGTCATAGATTTTAGTCTGTAGACCCTGGTTCTGTTGATTCTGGACCCCAGGTGAGGCTGGACAGCATGAGAACAGGAGCATGTACAGAAGGAGACAGCCCATGTCATGGCGCACAGGACTAGACTGGGTATATCCTTCAAATACCCCCAGGAACCAGCTAGCCCCACTTCCTAGAGTTTCTAAAATAAACCCACCAACTGAAGATTAAGCGTTCAGCCATGAGCCTTTTGAAGGACATTTCATACTGAAATCATGGTAGTTTGACATATGGAAAATAATCTTCATTCTCAGTTTGCTTTTACAAAAGAGCTAGAGCAGAGACATTAAATCCATAAACCAAAATCAACTCTTTGGATACAATATAGATTAAATTGTATTAAAATACGAAATAGAACTTCAAAAGTGTCCTGTCTTGTTTTCATGATCTAGTTGCCATATTATAAATTTGAAGCATTTTGGTTCTATATGGCACATTGGAAGTTTATTAGACTCCATCACATTTTCAGGAACTGGAAGTAACTATCAGACAACTGAAGAGATGTAAAGAAGCAACAGAGAATAAACTAAAAGAAGCCAGTGTGGAATCAGAGCAGGTGAGCCAGACTCAGGCACTTACAGAGGTACGGCAGCCCTAAAACACAGCGCTCTGAACTCTGCCAGGGACGTAGTTGTCGGGGGTCCAGCAGGCAAAGGCCAACAGTTTACTAAGTGTAATCTTTATTGTGAAGAATTTTAGATAAGATGTCCTGATGATGACCAATGCTAGAATATTAGTGAAATCTGATGTCTAGGAACATACCACTCAACAGAAGGGAAGGGGGCAGCAAGGTGTGGATCTGAAGTGTATTGCTCCCAGACATGAGTTGTCCTAAATCTAATCAGAAAGTGGTTGAATATTCCTGTACCGTTCATGCCACTGCTCTTCCCCACGTAGAACCCTGGAGGCTACAGTAATGACAGCCTGGCACCATATGTCGATGGGTGTTACAGCAGCATGCGAAGGAATTTCTAAAATATCACAATAACATAGCTGTCCATTTAACATTTGTCCCTGGATGACCATTAAGTTACACGGCAGTATAACCTGCCAATGAGTGTATTAGAAAGAAAAGGATTCTTGACAACCCCAAGTTTGAGTGCCAACTATGATGCTTTCTACGTGCCCTTAATAAAGTTACATTTACTCTCATTTTTGAGTGTGTGAATGCACATGCATATATGTTCATGTATGGGGTGCATGTGTATGAGTGTAAGCATGCATGTGGAGGCCAGAGGACAACCTTGGGTATCCTCGGGTACCATCCACCCTTTTTTTTTTTTTTTTTTTTTTCTGAGACAGGGTCTATTATTGGACTGGAACTCAGCAGCTAGACTAGGCCGGCCAGCCAGCGTGTCCCAGGGATCTGCTTGTCTCCTCCTCCCTGACTCTGGGATTACAAGTACATGCCACCACACCCAGACTATCTTCTGATGTGGGTTCTGGGAATCATACTGAGGTCCTCGTTCCTACACAACCAGCACTTTACCCAATGAGTTGTCTGCTCAGCCTGTGTTTACTTCCTCTGAATTCTTCATTACTGTGTTGACAAAATAATACATTAGCTGATACCCACTACTATCTTACTCTAATAGAGTTTTCAGTAAGTTTCAATGTCAGTTTCCTCTCATTTGCCATACAATAGGAGGTGCAATTTATTTCAGTCTTTCCCTGTACTTCTGGCAAAAAACACTTGGAGGAAGGGTTGGGCTGGGTTTGGAGAGTGAAGGTGTTGCTGTTACCAGGTTGTCCCAACAGACCTGAAAATATTTTTGTAGTTCCTGAAAGTCAAGTTACGTTCTAGCAAAGGAGTCCAGTGCTTTCATCTCACCATCCCATCATGTGCCCACATGATGGCCTCACTGATGTCAGAAAGTGCCTGGAAGCACACAGCTGCTAGCCCCACTCTGTTAGTGCTCCCTGGAAGCACACAGCTGCTAGCCCTACTTCGTTAGTGCTCTACCAGGTATAGGATACACAGGGGGTTCTGACGAAGCGCCTGGGAAGCAGGAGCCTGCATGCATCCTCTAAGGCCTCGCTCAGGGAGTGCTCCCTCAGAGAGTGCTCCCTCAGCTCAGTGGCTGTGCAGTGTACGACACAAACACATGGCAAGGATCCCTGTGATTATTTGAGTCTTCTGATAGCTAGGTGTAAATCTCCCAGACTCGTACGCAAAAGAACTTGTGGCCATTTCTGTGTTCAGATAACAGCTAATCTGGAAGAAGCCCACCGCTGGTTTAAATGCAGGTTCGATGGCTTACAACTTGAGCTGACCAAAAACCGGCTGCAGAGGCTTCCCCGGGAAGACAAATGGCCAGAAGAGGTGAGATTGGCATGGTGGTTGTGACGAAGTATGAAGTTTTCCTTCTCCTTGTCTGACTACAGAAGCCCTCTTAGTCATCTAGCTGCTCCTTGTTCGCCTGTGGGTTTCTTTCAACTACTGTTAGGAAACTAGTGGACTAAGTTTCTCTAGATGTTTTACCTCCCTCAAGCTATCAAGATCAAATCTACCTATCTGAATGTATTAGTGGCATTACGGAGGGTAACAGGCTGTAAACACTGTTGGTTCTCATCAGACAGAGTTGAGTGTATTTTTTTTTCCCCTACAGAATCAAGATAAGCGGTTTGATATTGCATCCAGCCAGTCAATTCTACATCGATGGGAGACTAAACAAAACCTTGGGCTTATGCCTAAGAAGTACCATTCTGACACAGAGAAGAAATGTCCTTGACGAAGGAGCCTCCTTGTGAGAAGTTTTGCCTCCATGATTCTGCTGGCCAGCAAACGGGGCTGGCCTGTTCTGTATTTAAGAACATGCTGTGTGACGAGGATTGGGGACTTTGTCCTTCGTGAAGTCTTTCATGTTATTGCAGAACCATCCCATCTTTTTCATCCTCTTCCCTATTTTCCACACAATAAATTTAAATTAGTTTGTTTTATATAGTAGATGCTGTCACATGATATTTGCCATTTTTCAGAAAGAATTTAGTGAAGTGTTAAGTGAAATGGCCACTAAATATGCTTTGTGTCCGTGAGATGTTCGAGACACGTCTTGTAGGAGCCTCTCTAACTGGCTGTGATCAATTAGTTGTAAACACCATTACTCCCTGACCAATCAAGAGTACTCTCTGGAAATGAAATGATCTGTAAAAACAGGAGACACTCTTCTGTACCTTCTAAACGTACACGCTTCTGGGTGGTCACAAAGTGTATCTTTAATAAGATTTATAAACAACATATGTCAAAGACTGTATTTACCGTTTCTTTGGTTATTAAAAGGCCGTTTATTGAATACAGGAGTCTGATCTTCTCCCTCTTACACTAGTAAGTAGCAAACTGAGCTTTGTATTTGTTATTTCAGCTATTAAATGGTGGGTTGGATAATCTAGACTTAACATACATAAAGGATTGGCATACTATCTGAACTAATTCCCAAGTAATAGCATTTTATGTTGATACAATAGGACCTAATATAAGTATGCAATTATGATAAAGCAAAGAGTAGAGACTATAAGGCCGCCCAGGGTTAGGGAGTCCAGCACTCAGTATCTGATGTCAAATGGCAAAACGGAATTGATTGCATGCTATCTTTGAAAGGAGAACCTTATGATTCAGGCCAAGTCCTGAGCACACTGCTGATCTTTTATTAGGAGTTGGGACACATGGAATTCAAGCTTCATGTCTGCATTAGTTACTTGGGTGAAACTGTGCGTTGATTGACATCCAAATCCACTTCTATTTTTCTGGCTTTCAGAAGAATGGGACTGTCATTGCGTGGTGGGCTTGACAAAGCGTGTACACTAAAGAACATTATAACCAGTCTAGTGGACAAGCTAGAACCTACTTCTGAGGACTGTTGTTACCACAGCCTTAAAAGGATCTGTTCCTGGGAGGATGGCATCATTTTATCCTTGGTGTGCCCTTTGTTCTTGGTTTCAGGTTAGTGGGGCTGTACACTGAAATGTGACTATACACACATTGAAGAATGAAAATAATAACTGTCTTTCCTGCTTAAGGAGGAGAAATTATATAACTTTTATTGCTCATAACTATTTCTGTGTTATGTTTTGAATATGTCCCCTCCAAAATTCTTGTTGAAACTTACTACTCATTGTAATGGTATTAAGAAATGGAGGCTTAGAGGATGTTGATTGTACCATGAGAGCCTTTAGGAATGGATTCATGCCTTTAAAGGGGCAACTGCCTCTGGCCCTACTGACTGAAGACAAAGCTTTTAGCACCTCCAGAGGACACCAGTTATAAGGTGCTAGCTAGAAGTAGAGCAGAGTCTCATCACACACCAACCCTGTCAGCAACTCCACCTGGACTTCCAGGCCTCCAGAACTGTGAGAAGTTGTTTCTGTTCTTGATAAATTTCCTACTCTCAGTTATTTTGTTTCAAGAAGCAAACACACACAGACAGTTGATTGAGGAATTTAAACTTGTTTGTAGTGTCTTTTGAGTCTTGGACACTATTGTTAGCCATAGAAGTCATTTCTCAAAAAGATATTAATGCTTTAGGACTCTTTGTGTGTGTGTGTGTGTGTGTGTGTGATAAATATATATTTGATAAATGTATATATAGATATATTTGATAAGAATGTGTATATGTGATAAATATATATTTGATAAATTATATATAGATATATTTAATAAGAGTGTGTGATAAATATATATTTCATAAATGTATATATAGATATATTTGATATGACAGTGTGTGTGTGTATGTGTATGTCTTGTGGGCCACAAAAATATGAGATTCAGCTGTGTATTAAAGCTATACTTTGACCGGCCAAGGGTCCGTCAAATGGGAAGCCATTTATCATGGAATATTTGGTATTATACAGCCTTAATATTTCAGCTGTCTTCTGCTATGAAATTCTTGCATGTCCAAATACTGTAGAACATTTGGCAAACAGCTAAGCCTCTCAGACCTGCTGACTTCTAGGTAACTAACTCCCCTGCTGAGCCTAGAAGACAGTCAGGGCTGTAGATGCATAGCTTCGCTTCTTGTGCAAATGAAGCTCATGCCATCCCTTGCCTTCAAGCCTAGTGGCATTCCAGAACAATTGACCGAGGACAACAGGGCTTTTTGCATAAGCAGGTGCAGTAAGGACTGGAGCAGAATTCCAGGGGCAGACATAGAACTGCATGGGCAGAGAGAGGAGAGGAGGAGTGAAGGGTGAGGCAGGAAGAGAAGACACAGAACCACGTGGCCAGAGAGAGGAGACGACGACAGAGGTTCTATAGAGAGTAAAACAGATCTCTTGTAGAGTTTATCAGGGCCAGGGGTAAGGAGCCAGAAAGGATAGATGGAGGATGAAGGAACAGAGGACAAAGATCAGGTCAAAAGCATAGGAGCTTACTAAAACTATGAGGACAGGAAAAGTAGGCAAAGAGTAGCTAAATGTGTGGACAGAGCTGAAGCTGTATAGATAGAATTTTTGTCATAGAGGAATAAAGTAAATGGACAAAAGAGCGTGGTGTATGTAGATTCCTTTCCCTCAGATACCCTATGCCGTATGTAGGGTCTTTCCTCTAGGAGGAGTTTTCTCAGGGCAGGAACTTGGGAAAATTCCATTATCCGTGTGTGTGTGTGTGTGTGTGTGTGTGTGTGTGTGTGTGTGTGTGTGTGTGTTTGGGGCTCATAGTTTTGAATCAGCCAAGAGTCCTATAGATAGTAAACCTTAGTCCTGAGTCAACACTGAAAACCTGAATTCCATATGAGAAAGAAGTTCACAATTACTACACAAGGCCATCCAGCTTTTGTGGATGGTCATATGCTGCCATGATCATTTATGACATGCTAGAATATTTATGTCCTTTTGATCCTTAACAAGGATATTTTTCTTCATGTAGGTATCATCATCAAAAGATATTGTTGTTGACAGTCATTTAGATTGCTATTCAAATAGTAGTTATTCGTAAGGGAGACATGATAATTAAATCAGAACTACATATAAGCTTAAACTACCAAGAAATATGACAAGAGAAAATGACCCAAGGAATATGTAGCATGTGACAAAAATATGCAAAACAGATTAGGGCAGAAAATTTTTGTTCTGATGATCTTAGGCACCTGCTTGTGCTGAAGTTCTTACAGATTGTTTGCTTTGGGAAGCTTTCTGAGGAACTTGGGCCTCTAGTGGGTATAATTGATTCTGAAAGGCCTTTCTATTGTTCTAGAAGCTCAAAATTATATGAGCAATAAGATTTGGAGTAAAAGACAAGAGTTTATTTATACATTCAAACCATGAATAATGCTTCTACTTTAGTGTGTTCTTGTTCATTATGTGGAGGAAATGTCTTTGTAATAAAAACTATTTCTATTGACTTTTGTAGCCGTTGTAAGTCTGTGCTTCTTGACAGAAGATTTACATCCATGCAGAAAAACAAATACTATTATTAATACATAGCACTTAGAATGAAGCTCTAAATCTAATTCATACTTAACCAGTTTTTCCAAGTTTTGTTACGAAGCAGCTGCCTCTCTGCTACTCTTAGTATTTTTCATACGTGCCACATTTTCCTTACTCTATTAGGTTAATTTTTTATTTATTTTCCATACCAACCAGAGTTTTCTCTCCCTCCCCTCCTCTCGTTCCCTCACCTCACCTCCTTTCTACCCCCTCCCCCCCATTCATTTCCACTCCTCAGAAAGGGTAAGGCCTTCCATGGGAGTCAACAACACATGGATATCAAGTTGAGGCAGGACCAAGCTCCTCCCACCTGCATCAAGACTGAGCTAGGTATCCCACCATAGGGAGTAGGTTCCAAAAGCCAGCTCATACACCAGGGACATATCCTGGTCCCACTGCTAGGGGCCCCACAAACAGACCAAGCTACACAACTGTTACCCACATGAGAAGGCCTAGGTTGGTCCCATGCAGGCTCCCTAGTCTAGAGTCCATGAGCTCCCACAAGCTCTGGTCAGCTGCCTCTGTGGGTTTCCACATCATGATCTTGAACACACACACACACCCCCTTGCTTATATAATTCTTCCTTCCTCTCTTCAACTGGACTTCCAGAGCTCAGCCCAGTATTTGGCTGTGGATCTCTGCGTCTCCTCATATCATTTACTGCTTGAAGGTTCTATGATGATAATTAGGGTAGTCACCAATCTGATTACAGGAGAAGGCCAGTTCAGGCACCTTCTCCACTGTTGCTAGGAATCTTAGCTGGGGTCATCCTTGTGGATTCCAGGGAGTTTCCCTGGCACCAGGTCTCTCCTTAACCCCATTATGGCTCCCTCTATCAAGATTTCTTTTGTGGCTGTCCCTCTTCGTCCCTCCCCCAACTCAACCAATCCCTCATGTTCCCATGTCCCATCCCCTCCCCTGTAACCCCCTCTTACCTCAAGTTTATCCAGGATATTTCATCTATTCCCCTTTCCCAGGGAAATCCATGTGTCCCTCTTAGTGTCCTCCTTGCTTATACCTAGTTTCTTTAGGGCTGTGGATTGTAGCCTGGTTACCCTTTGCTTTCCATCTAGTATCCACTTATGAGTGAGTACATGCCGTGTTTGTCTTTCTGGGTCTGGGTTATCTCATTCAGGATGATTTTTTTCTAGTTCCATCCATTTGCCTGCAAATTTCATGATATCATTGTGTTGTTGTTGTTGTTGTTTTACCACTGAGTATTACTCCATTGTGTAAATGTACCACATTTTCTTTATCCATTCTTTGGTTGAGGTACATCAAGGTTGTTTCTGGGTTCTGGCTATTATGAATACTGCTGCTATGAGCATAGTTGAGTAAGTGTTCTTGTGGTATCATTGAGCATCCTTTGGGCATATAGCCAATAGTGTTATCATCGGGTCTTGAGGTAAAATGATTCCCAATTTTCTGAGAAACTACCATACTGATTTCCAAAGTGGCTGTACAAGTTTTCCCTCCCACCAACAGTGGACGAGTGTTCCCCTTACTCCACATCCTCTCCAACATAAGCTGTCATCTCTGTTTTTGATCTTAGCTGTTATGACAGGTGTAAGATGGTATCTCAGAATCATTTTGATTTGCATTTCTCTGATGACTAAGGATGTTGAGCAATTCCTTAAATGTCTTTCAGCCATTTGAGATTCTTCTGTTGAGAATTCTGTTTAGCTCTGTAGCCAATTTTTTAATTGGATTATTTGGTATTTTGATGTCTAGTTTCTTGAGTTCTTTATATATTTTGGAAATCAGCCCTCTGTCTGATGTGGAGTTGGTGAAAATTTTTTCCCATACTGTAGGCTGCTGTTTTGTTTGATTGACAGTGTCCTTTGCCTTACAGAGCTTTTTAGTTTTATGAGGTCCCATTTATTAAGTGTTGATCTTAGTGCCTGTGCTATGGGGTTCTGTTCAGGAAGTGGTCACCTATGCCAATGTATCTAAGGCTATTCTTCACTCTCTCTTCTCTCAGGTTCAGTGTATCTGGATTTATGATGAGGTCTTTGATCCACTTGAACTTGAGTTTTGTGCATGGTGACAGATATGGATCTATTTGTAATTTTTTACATATTAACATCCAATTATGCCAG